ACAAAACTCTCAAGGTCCTACAATATAACAGCACTCATGAGAGGACAAGGAAAAGGTTAAATCAAAACCCATTAATTTTGCCAACAAATAGTAGTAATATAAGGCATTTATTGACACAACCCTCCCCTCCCCCTTCTGTCCTTCCTAAAGTATGAATATCTTTCTAAAAGTCAATACAATCACTATTCTTTAATCTTTCATTATATGTCGTCTGACTAAATGTAGAAATACATCACCGTATTGTGGAATTTTCTAAATACATCACCAGACTGCGGAATTTTCTAGATCATGGAAGAAACTGCAATCTGGAAATCAAAACACTCATTTTTGTCACAATTTCTTGTGTGTGTATGCCAATGAACATTGCATAGGTACTTCTCTGCTTCAAGCTCTTTAACCAAAACGAAACACTACTGAGTGTCTGAGAAACCCCCACCCCCTACAGCTCCTCAATGATAGCCATGAGAATGACTTAGGTTTCAGGTCTCCAAAACTCCTCAGTGACTGAGACATCAGACATGTCCTGTGCATTTCAAGAATCATCTGCTCAATCCAATTTCTTGGAGATTTTTCGAGATACCTACATAAACTATCAGATTTGCCTTTTATACAGCAGTACTTTTGGTTTCAGACTTTCAGGTATAGAAATTTACGATAATGAATGTCAAATTTCCCATATGTCATCAAAAGGATTAAGCTTGATGACAATCCTTATCTCAACAATTCCCACAATTACTGGATAGATATTCAAAGATGTCCTGAATCCAGTATACTTTGAATAGTAAGTCAGCAACCACAAAACCAACTATTTGTCAAAGTAATATTGTAGCTTACCACCATATGCTCCCCTCAGTTCTTTCAACACATCATCTATCAGATACCACAATGACTCGAGACAAGGCATGGTAAAGAATAAAGATTACCACCTCCATTAAGAATTAATTGAACTTGAAATGAGCCAGGTAATTTCAAAAATCAATTCAATTTTAAGCCAAAATGATCAGCATGTAAGACCAAATGACCACAGCATTTACGTACTTGGATCCTTAACCTACCTCTCCGTACCAGAGTTGGCACCAGTTAGATACAGGCACAATCCTTCAAATCTTTATCTTTCTATCAAATCATAAAACAGAACTAGGAAAATCTAGGTGTATCAATGTCGGACACCATATTTGAGTATGACACTTTTGGCAAGTCTAAGTCGCATAATTATGTGCTCATTCTTATTACACTCCTAAAGGTACTCATTACATATTATGCCTACCAAAATATGTTCCCACCATTTGTGCAATCCTTTAACTTTTCATTATTTTCATAAAGGAAAGAATCTGACCTCATCTCATTCTCCAGCTAATATAATCAAAGCACATGGAAGGCAATTGGGCAATCACATCCTAACCACCTTCTCCTTTACTTCTCTTCTTTTTCTTTCTTTCCTCTCTTTTCAAAGGAATAATCACCTTTTTACACATACAAACAAGGAGACCGAGAAAAAGAATAGAAGAAGAATATATCAAAATGTTATGAGTACCAAATAGACCTAATTGACATACTCGTATACTCCCTTCGTTTCGAATTTATTCTCATTTGTCTCATCACTAGTTCAAACACTATCAAAGTATCAATGTGACTATTAAATCAAGAAAAAGGGAGTAGTTTATGTTCTAATAAAGTATGACTAAACAAGGTTGATTCCACTGAACAGGTTAGTTTTGTTCAAGTTTCAGTAACAGGTGAGTATATTTTATTCAATTACATGCTTAAAATAGTAAAATCTTAATCACTAAGTTTTACTTGGAACAAACTATTCCTCTTCATTCATCAAACATGAAGACAAACTAAACTCCATTCTATGCCCTTTAAAACAATCCCCAACTCATTCCGGATTTAGTCGTTACATTACTAGTTCAAATTACACTATCAACGCTCACAATTAATTCCAAACAGAGGGCGTACTGAAGTACTCAATTCAATCGTATGAGAATAAATTTATCAAATAAAAGATCCAATCTTTCCAAATACTCAATACTTCCATCAATTACCAACAGAATTCATCAAATCCCTTGAATTACAAGAACAAATTCAACAAACCCAATTCAAATATGATCAAATAAATGACTAATTCAAACAAAACAAATAACCCCAAATCATAAAAAGGGGTTAATTAAAAAGAGAGAAAGAAATAAACCTGTAAGATACATGTCTTTGAGAAGCAAAGGATTCCTTGTAGCTCCCAGTAAGATACCCTTCAATTTTTGGAGTTTCCATCTCAAATTCTTTATTTTTTGGTCTAATTTTCTCTCTCCTCTTCTGAATTAAGTATAAAAAATTTGCAGAAAATTGGAAATTGAGAGAGAGATTGGAGAACGTGGTTGATGTTTCTGGGGATCGTGGGTTGAGACCGTTGCTAACAAAAAAATAATAAGAAAAAAAGAAAAGAAAAAAAAAAAAACTGGAAAATTGATGAAGTTTTGAGGAATTATTAGTGAGAAATGAGTAAGAGTAGCCGAGTAGGTTTATGTTTGTTTAGACTTTTTGGACTTGGTTTTCAGATTGTTGGACTTGTACTGAAAACTCCCTTTCAATGACATCATGGGACATACACGGCTTTTACGCATTTCTGTCAACCCAATTATTGTTGGGGGGTTTTATTAGAGACTTTAGGATAACTCGTCTTGATTTCTTGAATAATCCCGATGTTTGTCGTTTTGTTTGAAATAATTTTGAGTTTGGTTAATTGTTAAATACCGAAGGTTGTTGTAGATTAATTTAAATAAATAATGAAAATAGTTTCAAATAGTAGTATGGATGGCACATTTGTAGTTGTAGCACTATTCGATTACAAAGAAATAAGGTTATAGTTGAGATTATTTTGAAATAACTTGATGTTAAGATTATCTTCGACAAACAAGATCACAATCTTCACATATATCTCTACCTTTTGCATGAAGTGTCCATACAAAAATGTCATTTCAGGATTTAAGTGACTCTAATTTTTAATAGGTTTTTAGCACCTAGATAGGATTTAGAAATTGTTTCAATTTTGTTACTTGTGACAATGTGGAGCCGTGGAGAGTGACTTATTTTCACTTGTTTTAACCAATTATTCCCTCCATCTCATTGACCAAAGATTCTCATTAAACCATCGTTTTGTAAGATAATATTGAATCACTAAAGTTAAGTCTTAAAGGCACTATGTACAAATTGAAATATACAAAATGAAGTTGTGGTGTCCACCTAAAATGACCATAGCACCCCCTCTTCTTTTAAAATTATAAATGATAATCAAAGTAAAGAAAACAAAAAGGAAAGAATAATCAATCAACAAATAGAAAGGAAAGATTAATCAATCAGCAAATAAAAAGGAAAGATTAATCAATTAGCAAATAGAAAGATAAATAATAATCAATCAACAAGTAAAAAGGAAAGATTAATTAATCAGCAAATAAAGAGAAAAGGTTAATCAATTAGCAAAAAAAGAAAAGATCAATTAATCCGCAAATAAAAAGGAAAGATTTATCAACAAACAAATAAAAAGGAAAGATTAATCAATCATCAAAGAATCTAAGTACATAAAATAAAAATCAATTTTTTGAATTAAGTGCAAAATAAATAGATTACATTATTTGTTTTATGTCTATACAATCAATCAATAGTTCAATACTCACTCCTTTTCTAAATAATTGATACATCTGACTTTTTCACTATTCATATATTAACTTTGACTATAGTTTTTTTTTTTTTTTTACACATAAAAAAACTAATTTTATTATGAAATATATTAGTAGTACGAAGTATTTAATAAGCGTTAATATAAAGATTCATACTACTATCAAGGTTTTTTTTTATTATTAATTTTTTATATATATGTTTTACTTATATTTAATCATATGTACCGATCTTTCAAAAAAAAAAAATCATATGTACCGAAGGCCAATTATTGCATTGACATGTGTGTTAAATTTGACCGTGTCAATTATTTAAGAATAGAAGGGTACATAATCTAAATTTTTAATCAATGCAAAATCATCTTTCATAAATAATCAACTTAATTTATGATAATATATGTAAGCAATGAAATACTATCAATTAAACTCATACAAGTCATACTATCTAAATTGTTTACTTTGTTAGTCAGTACTAAACCCAATTGTCTACCTTTATACTTTCATATTTGCGAATTAATATATTATTTTCATATAACATTTAATCTTTATTTTTACCCCTATATATGTGTGACATTATATTGTAATAAATAATATTGTAAGAATTGCATGTATATAGTGCTAATTGCAAATGAAAGTAGAGAGTTTAAACATTGGACCTATCATACTCAAACCCTCAATCTTAACTAGTTACCAAAATCTCATAGTTTAATTTTATTACAAGTGGAAATATGGTGAAGAAAACAAATTTAATCATCGCTTAATTAGCCCCTAACATCGCTTAATTAGCCCCTAACAATGTAATACTTGAACACTAAAATATTATACGTAGTACTCCATCCGTCCCTTAATACAATGTCTCTTTCTATTTATTATGTGAGGAATAGATGCTCAAAACAGACATTGTATTAAGGGACGGAGGGAGTATTTCAGACAATTCAAATAAACTCATGCATTTACATTTAGGGCTTGTTCTCATTGACTGAACTGAACTGAGCTGAGCTGAACTGAACTAAACTGAGCTGAGCTGAATTGAACTGAACTGAATTGAGCTGAACTAAAATGAATATTTTATAAGAGAAGGAAATTAGGAGCTGAACAGAACTGAACTGAGCTGAACTGAATTGAATTGAATTTCAACGTAAGAGAACAGACCCTAAGAACTAATACTTCAATTCTTCGAAGTAAATATCTAAGTCAAACATATAGAGTCATGTCTTTAATGTGTGAAATCTAAACGCTTATATAGTGTGTTAAACATTATTTATAACGTGTATTAACCACCATAAATTTTAGTCTTCCGTTTAATTTCTAGAAATTAAAAAAAGCATATGCAAAAACAATCTCAATGTAATACTTGTTTCAAGATTAACCATTCATAATTTCATGGTTATTATGAATACATACATACTTCCTACTAAAAAGTATTGCACTTGTACATGAACTTAAAGGAGCTAGATCACCAAAAATTATACTAACTTAAGAGGAGATGATGTACTAAGCTAATATAAGCCTAGTCCTCTTCCTCATCGGTGATGAATTTACCGGTTCCAGGGTTAATGGCGGCGATGAAGAAGAAGACGACGTTTAACAAAACCAATGGCTCGATTTCATTGATAGGAACTCCGGTCTCAATGTTGAGTTGTGCAAGGGCTCCTTTTCCTGTTATGATTTCTCCTATTAAGGAGAATGCAAATCCTAATTGTGCCAATCTTCCCACAAATAGCTCATTTGACTTAGTGAATCCAAATAGAGGACCTTCAATTACACAAACTTGATTGTTAGAACATTTAATTAATAGGAACACGTTATTAGAGAAGCAAGTTTTGTGTACGACTGTCCCAATGGTAATAGGAAGTACTAGATTTTGCCTTATTTTAAAGTTAGGAAACATCTTCAAAAGTATAACACTAAATCATCAACTAGTGAATTTTGTGCCTTAAACATGTGCTTTCCTACTTTGTGTAGTTAATGAGTCTTATCATGCCTATAATAATTTTCTTGGATGAATTTAACCTTCAATCATAGTTTATTTTAATGATTGTAAAATGTAATTAAGAAATAATATAACGAAAGATAAATTATTTTATTATCATTTTTTCATATATGTATGTAAGGTATAATATAACACATACAAAACACACAATGACATTCAATATTAAGATTTTAGGTCAAGTATTTTACCTCCTTCCTTAAGACCCAAAGCTGACCTAACATTCTTTCCAGGTGGGATGACCGCCTTCTCAAGTCCGGTGGGAGGGTCATCCACGAACCTTCCCCTGTCTCCTAGGGCTCCAATTGCTCCAAGCAAGGTAAACAGAATGAAGAAGAGCAAAAGAGGCTCGGCTTCATAGATGGGAATTCCGGTTTCTAGGTTAAGTTGAGCCAAAATACCCTTTCCGGTTATACCTTCTCCCAACAATGATGCCTGAAAGTTTGTTACAAAATACATACAAATTCATCATTTGTCATTCCATTTCAGAAAATCACAAGTCACCAATCAAATTAAAGTTTATAATCATGCCGCGTTTAAAAAGTCAAAATCTTGCTTGGTTTTAAACCTCGAACAAGTCAAATTTTGTTTCAAAGTACAATGCATAGATTAAAATAAAAATGTGTTATAAAATTGATTTAAATCCCAAAAAAATACATAAACAACTAGTCATTATAAATATCAATATTGGGCCAGCCCTTATCGGCCTGTAACTTGACAAACTGGGCCAAAAGCCTTATTTCTTCATCTTGTAATCGCGGCCCAAAGGTGCATTGTCCTCTGGGCATGCAGTTTAGTCCAAATCCAGGCATTCTTCCTTTCCCATTGTAAGTAATACTATACAATTCCTCCTCACTTTCAACACCATTCCTTTGAAGATCCTTGGTAAACAAGGTTGCTCCTGGCTGGATTAGGTTCCCTCCTGCGTCGTGGCACCCGATGCAGGATCTTCGAAACAAGGCTGCCCCTCTGGCTGTATCGATGGCAAGCGAGGCTGGGGTGTAGGAGATAGGATATAAGGCTACTAGTAAAGCCATGAGGGGTGGTAGCAAGTGCTTCAAAAGCTTGGATGCTTCTTCTTTGCTTGTGTCCTTATTAAAGATTTTAGTGTAAGAAATATGATATGGAAAATACTTTTGTTTGACATTTATTTTCTCTAATTTACTCAAACTTGATTTACCAAGGTTAGGGGATTTGATTTCTTTTGCATTGTCCACTGAAGTATAATCAATATCAGTTAAATGACGAGTTGATATAAAATATTAATGATTTTTTTAAAACTCGTTAATTATCTAAAACTTTTTTTTTTAAATCTGACAATTATTTAAAGCTCGGATTAATTTCTTGAGTTGAGATTATTAGTCCTATATGGGTAAAAGTTGTAATTAAAAATAAAAAAATAAAAAAGTTACAAATCTAGCTATTTTACTAGTACAAACATAGTGCTACTTAAGTAACGTTGCTAGAGAGTTTATTTACAAGCTATCCTCATTAAAATCTAATACAAGTATAATATTAGACCCCAAACAAATATAAGGACTTTCACTCAAACAACCCCCTTTATTTTTCTTATCAATCCAAAATTTACCCTCCAACGGATTGATCGTAAGAATTTATCAAACTAACACTAAAATATAAATTAGTAAAGAGACAACTAAATCTGAATGTACTCAAATCTTATCTGCACTCGTAAATGGATGCATGATCTTGAAAATCCATATATTTTAAGTATCCAAAAGATCATACTAGTATTATGTACACATACACATGAGTATATATGACTAAAATTTGTGTAAAATAATGTAATCAACTATATAATGTAAAGATTAAAGTGATTAATTAACTTACAGCAAATCCAATCATAGCAACACGACCAACAAAGAGTTCATTTTCCTTAGTAAACCCAATTCCTCCAGAAGTTCCAAACAAACCATCTTCAACTTTTAGCTTTGGCTTCTCCACCTAATTAACATAACATTATTAATAACAAAATAATTAACATCACTAATACATAATAATCATGAAATAAATTAACAACTTTCAAAAAAAAAAAAAAAAGTAATAAATTAACAAAAATAAATAAATAAATAAATAAATGTACCTTCTTAGCAGGAGCTTTGGCCTTGGACTTAAAAAGAGCAAAAGTCTTTAAAACATTTGAAGAAGAAGAAGAAGAAAGTGAAGGAAGAGGAGAAAAGAAAAGATGAGAAGAAGAAGATTTAGGCTTAATCTTTTCAATTTGAAGTTTAAGCAATGAATTTCGCTTCAAATCAACTGTGTTAGTAGAAACATTAGGCATAAGCAACATTGCTTGAGCCATACTTAATTATATATTAAATCTAATTAGTTTTAATATTTCTTAGATTCAATATACAATTCTCTCTTCTTCTTGCTTTTAATCTATTTTACTACAATGTTGAAAGTTTGTTAAATGATCATATAATGTGTAATGTTTTTATTAAGTGGAGGAAAATAAAGGGTGACACAAAGAGATGTGGATAGGATTTTTGAGAGTGTTGATAGGTTTATAGAGTGACCACGTTACCTTTTGTTTTTCAATATGTGCATTTTAGTGGTTCTTTCTTTTGTGAACCATGTTTGATTATCAAGTATTTTTGAGCATTTTTTTGTTTTTGTTTTCTGATTTTATTTTTAAAATAAAAATTGAGCATATTCCAAGTTTATGGGGATCATATGGAATTATATATCTTATAGAATCTTAGTAAATAGTAATTGCTTTTTTTACTATGATATAAAAATGTTTTCTAAAATGAGTAAAAAAAAATTATGGATGTAACTCCGTTTATTCGAAGATTTAATTTGAAACTTAAAATATATTGTCTTGCTATTTTAGTTATTTTTAAATATAACACATAAAGTTTTTTCTCAAAAAAAAGGAGTACGTAAAAGTTAATGCAACGCAAATTAAATTTTGTTATTGTATAAATATATTTGTCGTTTTCTCAAATAATATCGTAAACTGTAGTACGTGTAATAATAAGAAGTATTAGGGATCAAGATAACAATATGTACAAAATGTAACAATTGTCTAATGAATAGAGTACATGAGTTGGGTGTTTAGGTCCCATTCAAAAACTATTGAACTCCAAAGGCACAAATTTGAAGTAGGAAATCTTGATTTGGATGTGAACCACACATATAGAGAAGAAAAGGATAGATGTATCTTGAACAAGAACACGTAGAGCTATAGAATAAATTTGACAAAGAATGTGAAATGACAAAAGTGCCCAAGTTGCATTTAATTTGCTAGTTTAGTGACATTTGCTAAGGTCCCCTTGCTCCTTAGAACACCATGACAAAATAATCACTTGTTTATTTGTTTTATTATTTGGTCATAACTCTTGAGGCATGCACTTGGTCTATTAGTCTAAAGACAAACTGAATACAAAGAGGAAGAGCCTATATTACCTTGTGGTTGAAAATTGACCACTAATAAAATGGGTCTAGACTTTTCTTTGTCACCTCATTTTCTGTATTGATGAATTCGATCAATTTGTATACTTTACCAAGCTAAATGGTCTAGTGAAAAGAGTTCATTTTCCAATCATGAGATTAGGTGTTCAATTCCTATTCGTAATAATAAGTTAGAGGATTGATTTCCCTTATTACCTTTCCCTATTTTCTAAAAATGTCTAGCCTGCTTATCCGGGTCGGGTTGACTCATGAGGTATTTTATAAAGGTAATACTTCCTCTGCTTTTCTGGTTGACACGTTTTGATTTTAGCACTATTTACATACATTCATTTGATCATGTTTATGATCTATACGTAATAAAAATAGTCATTAGAGATCTTGTTATATTCACCACGATGTATATTTCAAAATATCAACTTTTTATAATTTTGCTTACAACATGTCTTGAGTGCGGTCGACCACATCGTGTGGCCACTTAATGTAACCCCTATAACATTGATTAAGTAACCTCTGTAATACCGATCGAGTAACTATATAACAATGACGAAGTAACCCCTTTAATATTGACCAAGTAACCCTAATTATACTAGCGAAATAACCCTCATAGTGGCTGGCCACAAAGGACTTTGTGTTTTGCTTATCGGCAATTAAAAATATTAATAGTTTAATTTGTACATCGATAAACATGACTAAATGCGTGTGTTAGTTAATAACGGATAAAGTAATATGTACACTATAAACTATGTATAAATGACTTTGTATTTCAAAACTAATGAATTTATATAATTCAAAACCAAATAACATATCTTATTATAAAAGCTATCTCCACTAAAGGAGCTAATGATATGAATTTGAATACGTACAAAGGTGCTAATAATATATACTTCCTCCGTTTCTATTTAGTTGACGTGTTTGATTTAGGCACATATATTAAGGAGAGGAGAGAAAGTGAGGGAGAATGAAAAACAAATGGGATAGCTTGTAAATGCAAGGTAAACAAGTTACTCCAAAAGAAAACGTGTCAACTAAAAAAAATTAAGGGTTTTTCTAAGCTATACCCCTAAGGTATTCGAGTTTCTAAGGTGTACTCATGTCTTTTCAAGTTTCTAAGTTGTGCCCTTCAACTCCTTATCAATACTAAAGTGTACCCTTATTAGTTCTTTAAAAGTTATTTGAGAGTGTGATTTGTGGCTTCAGTTTTCATTATTAGGGTTGCGGTGGCTAAAATTTCTTTCTCCTACTATTTCCTTACCTTTTATCATCTTTCTATTAAATTTATAGTTAACTTTAGGTGACGTGGAAGTCCCAAGGAGGGTATCATTCATTAATGGTAGCGAGTTGAGGGGCACAACTTAAAAACTTGAAAAAGCATGGGTACACCTTAAAAACTCGAATACCTTAGAGGTATAGCTTAGAAAAACCCAAACATTAAACTTCCTAAAAAGGAATACGTGTCGACTAAAAAGACTCGGAGGTAGTATTTAAATATGCACCAATCAGTTTTGTATTTTGGATACAATTCAAGTAATAAAGAGGTGATCCCGGGTTTACACTTGGGCCCCGTTCTTTAGAACTGCTCTGCTCTGCTTTGTTGAAATCTGCTCTGCTCTGTTTTGCTTTAACATGCTCTGCTCTGTTTTGCTTTAACATACTTATTTGCTCTGCTCTGTTCTGCTGAAATTTGCTCTGCTCTGCCCAAAGCTCAAAAGAACAAGTTCTTGACAGATTAGAAAATTATCACAAGTGTTAGCATTACAAACATAAAAGTTTTTCATTATATCTCTAACAACCAACATAATGTGACATAATGACTTTTTTTTTTTCCCACTCTATAAAGGAATCATAATATTATTGTCATAGTTAGTTGAGATATATCTACTAATTTAATAGGATTTTACAAAATCAACTAATAATAATAGTTGAATAAACCCCATATAATTTCTCATGAGCAATGAAAGATAACTTTATGAGCTTCACATTTAATCTTAATGGCCCTTCTTATTTGTAAATTTATTTCAATATATTTATATTAAGAGAGAGAAGTTACAAGTTAACAACCTTCATCAGAACTCGACTTTCAATTATAGTTAAGTAATTAAGTAACCCGAACAAACAATATTATTATTATTCATTCTTATTCCTATCTAACTAATTTTTAAAATGTTGATGTTTACTTATTCACTAGTAAAATATGTTAATGTTATATTGATGTTTACTTATTCACTAATTAAATATTTTAACGTTTTATTACGATAAATTGACTATCTAAATATAAATTTTTCACAAAAATAGAATTTATAGAGATTTTCGATCATTTTTTAAAATATTTATTTGATACACATGATTTTATAAATTAGATGTGTCAATGGTTTGTATATGACAGAATAATTAATAAAAAAGAATTAAAGATTCTATACAGATCTCGTGTAACTAGTCAACTTAATGCATAAGGGTTGAAAAGAAATACTGCTACTATGAGTCGTTCACTTCAAAAAAAAAAAAAAAAATTCTGAACTAAAATTATTTTTACTAAATAAAACTATTTTTGCTGAAATTAAATTATTTTTACTGAACTTAAATTAATTTTACTGAACTGAATTTTTTTTGCTGAACTAAAATTATTTTTACTGATTTTATATTATAACATAATTTATTTGTACGAACTGAAATTATTTTTATTGAATTGAAATTAATTTTACTGAGCTGAACTTCTATTCACTAAACTGAAATTATTTTTACTTAATATTATTTTTTTTAAGGTGAAGTGAATATGGCCTATATCTATTGAACTGATATTATGTTCATTTCATCTAACTTGTAAAAATTAATTAATTATTTCATTCTAAGTTTTAAGCAAATATTAGTATGAGCATTATTTTTTTTTTTTTTATTATACAAAGATTAGCCAAATAATATTATAAAATTATGCATTTATATTTAAATAAGGTCTTTTTAAATAAGGCCATAAAATTACTGCATATTAGATTTTCAAAAGGGACTTATTATAGGGTTAATGGGTTATGGTATAAGGGCCAACTGCCAACATGAGACAAATCAAATCATTGACTAAGACTACCACCGTTTAAGTCACATGTATATAGACAATCGTTTAACAGTAGCCATGTCCGTGAAAATTTGAAGGCCCTGTGCATGCCGTGCTACAAGCAAGTAGATCTTTTACTCTCTGGAGGCCCAATATAAAGGAAATTGTCCATTTATACATGAACTACGCCACTACAAAAGTATGAACTGTTCTCTTCAGTTTATTTTCACTTTAATTCAGTTCAGTTTTAATCAGCTCAATTCAGTTTCTAATTTTCTTCTCTCATAAAATATTCAATTCACTTCATCTCCAATTAGTTTAGTTCAGTAAATCAAAACAGGCCCTTAGCACATTTTCTGAGTAATCCCTATAATATTGACATGATAATCATTTATTATAGTTAATGAGAAACTCTTAAATTATAAAGTAACTCAAAAAAACACGCATAGAGTAACCCTTTTTTCTAAGTATAACCTGTAACACTAACCGACTAACCCCATGGTGCTTGGCAAAACATAGTTAAAAAAAGTGTGAAATAAAAAACAAAAATTTGTGGGTCTTATTATTTTATAATTTATCTTTTATCTTATCTTGCTAACGAACGTCCCTGTGGCATTGGATAAACAATTTAAACTATTACAATACCTAAAATGGTATTAATTCGGAAAAACATGACAAAATCACAAGTCGATCGGTGTAATTAATGTTAATTTTAATCTTTCTACTTTTACCTAGCTTATCCAACACTCCCGAAACGTTCGTTAATTTTTGCCTTATCTTAAATATGTGCATGAGAACTATGTTAAAAAAAAAAATGAAATACGAGTAAATAAAAAGCAATGGAGCCAGTGAAATACATGTCTTGTTTTACAATTGGTTGTTGACCTTTTTTTTTTTTGTTTGTTTGGCTAAAGTTTTTTATTTGTTTAAAAACATGTTTGAAAACTTTAGGTATTGGATATTACTTCAACAATTTAGGTACTTAAAAGTTAATAGCTAATCAAAACAATGTTTTCATTTGGGTTTAAAAACTATCCTTTCAATTGGTTAAATTGTCATATTAAATTTGGCTATGTATTGTT